AAGGCCAGTCACAAGTTCACAGGGTGAACAATGACAAAACAATTCTTTTGTTGCGGCTCATTTGAATAGCTTGTAAATTGGCTTAAGACTGAATGACTTGTGATGGACCTGTGATGGACTTCCAGGGGCTTGTGATGGACTTGAATATAATACTGCCAAATTACCACTGAGGCCCCAAAAGGTTATAAACGCTTCCTATTACATGGTATCTAAAAACAGAATGGCTGTGGTAGGTAAGGGACAAAACGGAACTCAGGGGGGAAGTACTGAGCATCCTGGCGAAATTTCAGCTAATAAAGCCCAGCAGATATCAAAGACTAAAAGTCACCTGTGTTTTCTACATCACAAGTCAGGGCCTAGTATCAATGGAGGAGTATACAAAGGGCCATTAACAGATCTATGCCACGGCATGGTCTGTGTAATTAGGACTCCTCATATCACTTCTTTTAACATTTGGACATGGCCGGGAAAAAGTCGAGTACCACAACTCTTCGTAGACCTTCTGTCCCATTAATTTATTTCAATCAAGACAGCTCGTGCCAAAATCAAAACCCTTGGATTTCACCCCCAAATAGTCTTGAAACTGTTCAGTGTGCCCACTAAGGATTCAGTAGGAATTGGGGATTCCAATGGTTGTGGTGAAGTTTACTTTCATTCAAAATGAAATTGCCTGGAAAGATTAAGCTGCAACATCTCAGCCATTTGCTTTTGGGAACTGTATATTTGGGATCCTCTAGTTTCTTGTCATTTTAATCTCGTAAAACTGGCCAGTCCCTCCCCCCAAAGAAAAAAACAAAGGCAATGCTTTCTTTATTACACTGACCCTATATTTTTCGAAATTTTGAATTGTAAATTGAGAGAAAATGTGACTTTCTAATAAACCAGTCATGCAAACTTGAATCCACCATTTAAAACACTCACAATTTCCCGTCATAATTTTCCTCAAAACTCCAAACTCTGCCCTCTTTTTCACATCAACCCTACAGTTATTGAGCAATGAGCATGTCACAATCATGGGTGAAACAAAACATTAACATGTAGGTCTCCCTTCTGTTTTAGGAACGGGGTCCCCAAATATGTACGATCCCTGCCCTTTGAGGGAACACCCACATGTAGCTGAAAGGAATATTGCTGTTTTACACAACGGTTTCAGATAGGAAGCACATACAGTGTAGGCCTATGTAGTCTAAATCTGGAAAATCGTTGCAATCAATGCCATTTTTATTAAAGAATTAGATCGATGAAGAGATCAGGTACACCAAGAACCGTAGGGTTTGATGTCCACTACATTCCACATGGGCGGGTGGCGGATGTCACACCCCACCATGCCCACTGTTCTGGGGGTAGAGATCGGGTTCGCCCAAGACAAAGAGCCACGATCTAAAAAAAACTTTAAAATCAGTAGTCAGTAGATGTGCACACCACAACTAGAGGACAGTTCCTGTATTCGGAGAAGTCCCTTTATTTGAGGACAAAAACCAGTCCCCTGAAAAAGAGAATGTCTCCTTAAAAGGGGACTTTTTTTGCAAGTAGGCTTAGGTCAAAAAGATCCACATGCTATTATCGAATTTTTCTCCCTTATTTCCCATTCATATTTAGTTATTTAACAATTAAGTTGTTTTCTTGAACTCTGTGTCATGTCACTTGATTAACTACATGCATATTATAAAGA